CTTTCATCTGCAACATAAGCGATTATATTTTCGTTTTGCATGCACCGTCCACCGCCTCTATAACACGACAAATGGAAGGTAGAAAGAATGACCACTTCGCTCGGGATGTTCGTCGATTTTCCAAAATTTGCACCTTCCCACATCTTTCCGATGATCTAAATCATGTCATAGCTGGGGCTACAAATTCTTTCCATCGTTTATTCACGCTCTCAAAAAATCATACCCACAGCTATCCGAACGTCTCAGGTTATTTAGGGGCATTGAGAATATTGAAAATGAAGGTTGGCGTCAGTTATACAGAACAGTTCTGAAACAGTTCTTGTACATGGACAGACCTCAAATCAGAGTATGTGGTGATATAAGCAGGTAGCACCTCCCATAGTGTGATGGGTCGAGATTTTGGAACACGAATCCAAAAAGCTACGAGCCGCAGATTGGCGACCCTGAAGTCTCTGCTTCTCTTCTTTGTTCTGCTCATCTCAAATCTCTCTTCGTTGACCTCTAACCGCGGTTCTATCTTCTGTATATCTTCAGCACCATACCTGACATTGTCACGATTTTCGACGAACTCGGATGTGCTTCCAACCCCTTGCTTATTGAGATCCTGCGCTCTGCTACTTCGCCGAGTATCGAAATTTTCGAGAAACGTTCCCCTAATACCAATCGATGATGACTTCTGGAAAGGATGCTGGGGTATTTGTATCGTGATAAAGGAGCAAAGAGTTGCCGGCCTAAGATCTATTATGGCTCTTCCGTGGATCAGGAACACGTTAAACACTCAGGTACCTCCGAGAAGTCTACATTGCCCTAGAGATGTTATGGTGGTAGTGTTTAGCACTAATGTCGACGGCAGCGCACTTATTCAATTTTTGTTTCCTTGTGTCAATTGTCGAAGTTCTGACTGGCTGAACGGTGGTTCTTTTGGTACGGTATCCAAGGTTCCATCTCAAGCATGAGTTCAAGAAATCTTTCGTTGTACAAGGTGGTGGTGTGAAGTCAGTCGTAGTAAGCGTTTGGAGCTTAAAGCCTAGGCCTTATCCCCTGAATATCACTTTGGACCATTTTCAGGGTCCGTGGTCCAGAATGCAAGAACACGCACGTACGTGTTGCGCAAACCACCTCACTCCCTGTAGACGAGTTCATAGCCACATCTATATTTGTTCGAACACCAGACGTTCTAGAATCCAGAGAGTGGGTCGCGCACCTAAATGAAGCAATCGATCTGACGCCGAAAGCATGTCGTGCGTTGTGACGCGCGCCCTTCCCCACAGGCACCCTACCTGGTATTCTGCGGGCAATCGGCGCAGGGGAAAGCTAGCCAGTTCCACGGTTCGTCCGATGGAGCGATCCGTGGACTTCCATAATTAGTTTCCAAGGCTCAGTTGAACCCTTACTCTTAAGTTCTCGTTTGCACCCTCAATTGCTTGCCAGTTTGCTACTGTCATTTTACTAGAGTCAGAAGCGTTAAACCATTGATCGTCCCCGCATCCGACATCTTGCTCAAAGAAACCGGAACATTTACCCCGCAAATCATCGCAAGCCTCACACGACTCTCCCAAGGTTACAGCACACACGGCACACGGCATACGCACAGCGGAATAAATAATATGGCGCCCATGCACAAGACTCCTAGCGAAGAAGGTACGCACCTCCCTCATCGAGCACTTTCGTGCGCCAAACGTCCAATTGGAGAAGCACCGACTAACATGCCGTCACCCCAGAAATCGCAAACACCCTCGGCAACCTTGAGCTCTCAGCCTCGCATCCGCAGAAAACCGCGCAGAAGCCCAAATCCAAGCCCGTCGCAGATAGCTGGGAAGCCGAACTCAGCGGGTCGGATACTGAGACTGAGGATGTAGACCTCGGCAAGTCTGCAGCGAAGGGCTCACCACACGATTCTTTACAACCCTTGAGCACCACCACATCGCGCGATAACCCGCCGAACCCGCCGCCGCCTACACCTGCCAGTCCCACGCAATTCGAATACCCGGATAATGTTCCGTACAACTTGAACTCCAGTTTGAGCGATAGTGGGAGTAGGAGCTCGAGCAGAGGAGGCCCAGATAAAAGGCCAGAGAAGACAACGTCTGTAGCTGGGAGGATGATTGCGGGTGCGTTGGGTGTCAGGGCGCCGAAGAGGACTGAGGAGGAGAGGGAGTATGACCGTGTCATGAGGGAGAAGGAGAGAAAGAGGAGGACCGAGGAGAGGGAAAGGGAGAAGAAGGAGGCTGAGGAGAGGGAAGCCAGGAAGAAGGCTGTTTGGGATGACTAGAACCGTTGAACGCTGTTATGCTCAGACTATCCTCGGCATGTAGTTTTAGTATTGATGTACATATAGTCTACGAAGATGTGTAAATTAGATGTAAAAAGTTTACCTGATATTGACGAAACATGGAAGTGGTAGCTGGTTATTTTCACAGCAGATGGGGTTATTGAGCACCGATTTTACTCGATATTAGACCGAACCTCTTCTTCGCTCGAGATTCCATGAGCACCGATCTTCATCTGCCGCACATTGCTGCTAGGTACAATACACGTGCATATAAGTCATGGAAAGTATGTAGTAAATTCAATCCCTCTCGCTTATGGCGCACCATCAGCTAAACCGTGAAGACTCAAATCGCGCCGCAAGGCGGTCTTGGTAAATCCGTGACGCCCGAACCCATAGTATCATATGTGAAAGCAAAACCCATGCCTCTTTTCCGCCATCGCCGCCGCTGAAAGCAATCGTGTCCTCGTAGGTCTTCGGCAGGTCGCACTCGTGGGTATACAAGGTGACGGCCTAGCCACTAGGTGTCGAGATTCAGTGCAGCTGTAAGGACTTCTGCACACTGTCGCGGAGGGTCGCCGGTCAGCAGCCACCAATCTGCTCCTGGTGGACTTCAAGGGTGTCGCCGTCCTGCATGTCGAGCTGTGTCGCGTTAGCAATTTTCCCAGAAGCGCAGCCTTTCCCTGTATGGAGACGACTGCAACTCTATCACGTACCGTGTCTGGGTTGTCCGCGGCTGTTACGCGCTGGCCGTCGAACAGGAATCGCACGCTTGAGATGTTCTTTCCCTGACGGTCGCAGAAGGCGTTCATAAGCTTGCCAAGGGCAGTGGTGCGCTTGATCTTGAAGAAGACCTCGTTGTTGTTATCGGTGACCTTGATGTTGAGGTGCTCGCTCTGGCCACCGTCTTCAGGCTTCTGCTGCACGTTGGGCGAACCGTTGTCAGACATTTTGAGGCGTGGGAGGTGCGTGGACGTCTAGGTGAGGTGTTGAGTCGCAGAGCGGTCGGATAGGGCTGTTCGGCGAGGTCAGTTGGCTATCCAGCGGAAGCGGTGGAGAATGAGGAAGCGCCGTTTTGTCGTGGGGGAGGCTGCTTTATACAGTGCGGAGATAGCCGTACCTTAATACCGGCGCACTGGTGCTGATTACGTCGGGTGATAGAAGACTCTCGTGAGGCTGGGCAGACGCGTCGGGTGTATGTTAGGAGCGGTGGCAACGCGTGAGGAGTTCTGTGCAGGAGGAAAGCGCAACGACGACGAGGTGGGAGCACTGAGAATTAGTGGGGTCTCGCTCTCAAAGCATTGGCCAGCCCTAACCAACCGGCTTCACCTTCATCACCTTTACCTGCACGACATAATTCGTCTTACCTGCTCTCTTATCAAGTCGCTATCTTTTCTGCCTCTGGATTTCTTCTTTTACAAACCTTGCATATCGACTCTTGCATCGCTGCGGCTGTTGGCTATTTTCACAATGGTATGCTCATGATGTCACGCTTATGGAACCGGCGGCGAGTACCAAATTGACAAGACCCAAGGGAGAAATGGAAAAGGACTTGAGGACAGATCCTCCGTGTCATCCTAGAGCATGTGCAATTCAAAGTGTGTATCTAGTCAAGTTTTATCATACTGAGCTAAGTGGTAGACTGCATACAGAAGAACAATTACAACGAAGAGAAGTGCAGAAAAGAGGTATGCATCCATGTCTCACAGGAGAGCCATTGAACACAGAACGACTTTGAACGCAGCCTGACCAAGACCAGGTTGATGCGCTATACGAGTGCTGCAACGCCTTCTACAAAGAGCAAGGAGAGAATGCTAGCACTGTGAGCTGTCCGAAATATACCCTCCTTAAGTGAGTCTCGAGACCCGTTCAACTCATCGGCAGCTAACGACACCTCAGACTCAAGATGGAGCAGCGTGCGAAAGGGATATCGTAGCCTCTAGCAGACTGTTGTATCCATGTCCCGTGTAATTATAGCCGTGTAATATAGCAAATCAAAACGCCTGGAGCTTCTTTCTACGATTGACACTGGATCCTCGGCCTCTCCATGCAAAAGTTTCGCGTCACTAGCAGTGTCGCGACGGAGCACGGTTTCTCTGAAGTCGACGGTACGTAGCATCGCGTCCACATGGTATCCGCTGTCGTCTGGCTCATGCATATTGGAATACCAGCTACAGCGAACATCATAGATATGCATTTTTGCCAGAGTACATTCATGGAAAGGGGCCCTTCGCGAGGCTGGCGCATCGAGATGTATGAGCCGAGAGGATCAGACGAATATGGTGCCTAAGACATTCGCATGCCATTCGAGCAATGGGTCGTTAGCTTAAGAGATGTATCACTTCCTATATCATCCGCACTGTCATTCCCCACTTGGGAGTCCAGCCAGGTTACCAGAAAGCGCATTGATCTAGGACAGCACGAGCGCGTCATGAGAAACTGAAGATTCCTGACGAGACTCTAAAGGCGCCGTCCTGTGAAAACATTGTGCCGAGAGACTCTGGGTAAGGGCAGATTTTGAGTTTTATGTTCACTAGCGCGCCGAAGCTTGGCGACGCGCTAGCGGACAGGGCCCGTCCGCGCGCGACTTGTGTTTTGTGATGGGCTTGGGCAGTCAACCACGAGCATCGCAGCTCCCAACACGTCATTGGGGCGCGTCTGATCAAGTACCACTGAGACTGTCTCATCGTCTTCTTCCCGCCATTCCGGATTCATACTCTTCCCACCCGCCATGGCTTCACGATCATTATCGCGTCAGTCGCAGCCGACTGCAGCCCAGGTAAGTCATCAGAGAGATCCTGCTGCCTCCCGAGACACCTCCAACTCCGCTCCAATGGGGGCTGACATTTCATCCAGTCCAACAACAATAATGCGCTCCTTTTCGGAACATCCCGAGCCACGAACGGCGCCAAACCCAACGATCCGCTACAACCGCTGCGCGCAATGGCCGAACGTGTAGGGAAAGAGGTAGAGAAGTTCGCGGAGCGGGTAGACCATTGGCATGTCCATGGCAACGAATCGAAGAAAGCCAAATACCAGACCACGGTCAAGCTGGTCGGCAAGTTCCAAGACGTTGCGGAATCACACGTGAAGGAGTTGAAGCGAACGACCGAAGCAGAGAACAAGGGAAGCCTCAGCAAGACTGTTCGTCGACAAATACAGACTATGGCAGATGCGTCAGACAACCCAGGCCAGAGTCTGTTTGGCCAATCGTCCCAATCAGTCATTTCGTCCATCGAACCGAACGCCGCCTCCGTCTCCGCGAATGTTCGAGAACTACGAGAATGGCAGGCTGAGCTTGCGACATGGAAACTGTTGAAGCTGGTCATCGAACATTACAACCCCGAGCCTGGCACCGATTCTGCTGCCGAGAAGCAAGCGCAACTGGAAGAGGTTGGGGGAACTGCAAGATACTGCAAGAATAGTGAGATCTGGGATCGTTTTCTGCTGGAGGATGACCAGGCGAAAGAGAAGGCGCTTGTCCTTCGCTGGTTGGAACAAACAGCGCGCGACAGTGACAGCGACGTCAAGGCGATTATTACAGGGCTCGAGGAACACTCCGGAAAGGGCGCGCACACATGGACCAGCGGATGGTTGGAGACCAAGACAAAGATCAAGCAGGCGAAGCGCATGGACGACATAGACCAACCTCTGAAGCCGATCAACTCGAATCTTAAGACCTCAGACAGGACCGCGAACCTCGTTACCCAACTGGACCCGGACGCTCTTTCTAGGCAAAAGCGCGCACTCGAACGGAGCGACGAGTACTACGAGCGCTCTCTCTGGATGGTCGCATATGAAATGATGCGACGGGGACTTCCTTGGAAGACAATCGTCGACTGGTGCTACGAGCGAAACGAGTCGTGGCGCGGTGTTAGCATTGGAGCTGCATACGAGGGCCATCCTGAAGGTGGCCCGAACGTCGCAGGGCCGACAGTTGGTTATCTGTTCCGTCGCATGTGCTTCTACGCCGCAAGGGGTGCTCGGATACCATACGAAGGCGCTGTATATGGGCTGTTAAGTGGAGACTTGAAGCAAGTACAGACGGTCTGCAGGTCTTGGGACGACCATCTGCATGCGCACTACAACGCACTTCTTCTGTCGCGATTCGACTCATATCTCCAGAAGAAGCACCCGAATCGAGTGACAGAGAGCATGACTCAGAAGTTTCTGTTCCAGGACGCCGTCGCGAATATCGGAGAATGGGAGAAATCACCGGAAAAGGTGATGAGCCTTCTGAAGCAGCAGAAGAGCACAGCAGCGCAAGCGGTCTCTCCGATCAAACTTATCCAGAGCGCGCTAATTAGCAGAGACGCTGATGAACTGATGCTGAAGGTCGGTGTGGCTATTGCAGACATGTTCGACAAGGACGAGCGACCTCACAGTCTCATCATACACCCAGACTCACCAGAAGAGGACCGAAGCCCAATACCCGCCGGAGACCATCGCACATACCACGCAGAGCCATATTACCAGGCCCTTGCAAAAGATCCACACGCTTTCCGCATTATTGTCCACATCTTCATTGTCCTTCGCAACGGATTACACACGCTTTTCGAGGATACACACCAGGACAAGAAATTCTTAGCTATGGACAATGTCATCACAGCTTATATCGAATTCTTGCGCCTCACCAAACGATTCGATACTATACCACTATACGCCGCGCAACTCATCCCCGAACGAGCAGCCTACAGCCTTGCGCGCGTGCTTCCCGATATCAAGAACAGCTCTGAGCAACGACACTCCGTTGCGCTGATGGAGTCATACCGGATTGATGTTGTCCAGGTCATTTCGCAGAGCTTCACGTTTGCTTCGCGGGATAGTGGATTTACGCACTTCACCAACGATGGCTATGGCGTTATCACCAACCCTATCAGGCGGTTTAACATATTGGAGAAGATTACACTTCCGACCGAGCAGCTGCTATGGCCAGGCGTGCGTGTCAAGCGCACATTCGACGGTGCTGAAATAAGCCCACAAGACGAGGTTGTTATCGATTCGGTGCAATGGTACAGCTATGTCGCAAAGGATTTCGAGAAGACGTTTGCACACTTGCAGAGCGCGCTGATCATCTTCCTTCGTAAGTCACGTCTAACATGCACAAACAGAAACTTGCTGACATATCATTCAGTCAATGGTCGGCTTGCCGCCGCTGAGAAGGTCATCGGCGATCTTAGCGTCGAGACACTGTCTCTTTCTAGGACAGAAGCCCTGCTCGGCTACCCCTTCGATTTCACAATGCCAGGAGCAGAGGAGCAGGATGAGCAGCGATTGCATGAACACCGTGACAACCTGTCTACTGCTGACCGAGCCGCCGCTATTCCCATGGCTAAACTGCCCAGCGCAGACCGGCACAGGAGGACGGTGAACGCGATGCGTCAGAGTAGCACTTCATACTACACACTTCAGCAGATTGTGCGCTTACTGGTCCTCTTCCGTGAATGGCGTGAAGAGGAGCAGACACTCATCCAGTCAGTCAATTCTCTCTTCTCTCTTCTAAGCACACCAACTAACACCCGCTACAGAATCCGCGCCGAACGCAAGAAAGACGGGGCCTCTGCGAAACACAAGCCCGATATCCAACGCACGAGAGCGCTCCTAGACTCGATATCAAACGTCTTCGACACCCTCATCCCCGCCATCTCCGATGCCTCCGCCGCCGATCCTGAACACCTCACAAGTAAGACCTGGGAGTTGATGAAGGCCTACATACCAGACATGATTCTCGCATACCTCTCAGTCCTGCAAGCAGCGGCTTGGTTCCTGAACAAGGACCCCGCGATCAAGGCTATGGAGGTAGCTGTTGTAGTAGCGGATAGGAGTAACGAGTGGGTGCAGAGGTGTCTGTTAGAGACAGGCAGGATGAGCGAAGTACTGGAGTGCTTGGCGGCTGTGTCGAAATGTATGTTGAAGTTGACCGAAGGTGGCAAGGAGAAGGGCAATAAGAAGAGGGGCGGAAAGGGCGAGACGCTCAGGTTGTGGGATCTGGGTGCACGATAGATTATGTTTACGCGGGGTTGTAAGATATCGAATGGAATAGGGCATCATGTAGTATGCGCGTGCATTGATTTTGGTGCGGCATTAGAAAGCAAAGCAAGCATCAATCAATTACCTCAAGCCAGTATACAAACAGTGTTAGTGAAAATGAATCCTGAGCGATGTATGCACCAATTGAGAACAAGTGTTTGTAGTGTAAAATGAAGCTCTTCCTGGAGCTCACTCTCGAATAGTCATATATCTAATGCAGCGATATATACACAAAACCCCTACCATAAAGAAGCGAACAGGTGACAATGCCAGAAGCCAGCACCCAAGAAAATAAGCAAACGATGCCTGAATCCATCAGGACCCGCCCAAAACGCCATTTGGTGGAGGTCGTCAAAGTTCGTGTCTATCCAAAATGCGAGTATGCAATTTTCGCTTTGCGGAACAAAATCATCGCTGATAACAAAGGGAAAGAAAAACGGACGGAGAAATCGGCTATGCGATGCAATGCAATAAGATGCCAACGCTGAAGATGCGCGCGTGGAGAAGTGAAGCGTGTGTGAGTGTCGTGTGTGGTGATGGCGGTAGAGATGCGCTCAAAAGTCGACACTCCATCTAAACCGAGGATCCCTCTCTGGTGGTCCAAAGTTGCGATCAAATGGGACATTTACAATGCCCTCTTCCTCTTCGTCCCAGTCTCGCGATAGGCTAAAGCCACTGTCAGACATATCTCGTCGCGCTCTTGCTGCCATGTCTTCTTCCGAAGGTGGTAGGCGGATCTTGGCTTCGACGAGTGGTGCGGAGACGAAGCGCGAGTTGAGCAGTGCGCGAGGGGATACGAGGTCTTGGAGGCAGTTTAGGGACGAAATGTCGGACGAGTTGAGAGGTTCGCGATGTTTGGTGTAGTAAGGGATGGAATCGGGGGTCGACGTGGTGGTGTAGCGGTGGTGTGCTGGACTGGGCTTCTCGGGAAGCGGGAGTGCGTTTTCGTCGCTGCCATTCCTCCCCGAGTTGCTGGACAGAACAGTGGAGAGTGCGGGTCGGCTCTGACGGACGCGGATCACTTTGATGTCTGGGACGACTGCGGAACGAGGTGCGGAGTTGCCTCGGACGATTGTGTCGCTGGAGTCTCCAGATGAATGCTGGGTGCTCACTGTCTCGGTCCGCGCCATGGCGAGGTCGACCTTGGTGTCTCTTCTCTGTCTTCGGCGTGAACTGCTCGTGGCAGAAGGCGGCCGAGCTTGTGGGGTCCTGCACCGTGATGGGTTGAAGTACGAACCGTTGGGCGATGCTGAGCGGGCCTCGGGTGTCTCGCCTCGTTCCAGCTTGTTCATCAAGTGCCTTGTGCTGACCTGGCGACCCAAGCTCAACTCGACGCGACTACTGGCGCCACTGCCACTTCGACTCCTGTTTCTTGCTCGTTCTTTTCCAGCCATGACACTAGCTTTGGGTGGAGGTTGGAGCATCCATCGGTTGTCGAGGGGGTCTGGAGAGGGGAGACTGACGACAGGAGGGTGCAGATCGTTGACGGGTGGTGCGCGCGCGGTGTAGTAGCTGCCGGATCTTGAAGTGCCTGGTCTCCGTATCTGATAGCCGGCACCTCCTGTTGACGAGCCTGTCATGGTCTGCTCGAGGTTTATCGAGGGCTCGTCGTGGCCCCATAGATCCTCGTCTTCCCTCTGATAGCGCTTGTGGTTCCATGTCTCATCGTCGTCGAGGGTATCGTCGCTCAGGCGCATGTCACCTGCTTGGTCGACATCGATGCTGCTCCCGCCCTTGCTCATAGCCGAGCCCTGTGTTCCGCGAGTTGGCATGCCCCTTGTGCTGCCTGTAGTGCCCGTGTTGGTCCTCCGCGCCCTTCGTGGCGGCGGTCCTGGGCCCATGACGATCTCCTCATGCCAGTATATATTGGTCCCAGTGGGTTCGGGATGGTGGTAGGCGTCGGGCTGCTCGAGTTCCAGCTTCTCCCGCACTTTCCTCGCGGCCTTTGCTGCTTTCCGTCTCTTCCTGCCGTCCGAGTAGCCAGTGCAGGGGGCACACGAGGCATAGTGGAAGACGGCACTCTGGACGCCTCTCATGAACCAGGCCATGGTGGCGGTGATGAATATTAGCCAACCGGTAGCGTGCGAGAGGGTGAGGGCGGCGGAGATGGTGACGCGCGTTGTGTTGTTGGTCGGCGGAGAAGGTCGCAGGCGCGGGAGCACTCGGTCCTGGATGGAGTATGGAGAGTCATTGCCGCTCTCCGTCGTGGAGGCTTCCAAAGGGTGGTAGAGAAAGGGTCAATCGCGGTGGAGCGCCGACGTTTCGTCGCTGGTTTGGGTGAGCGCGGTCCACGGATCCGGTTTCCGGCCGGGGTGGAGAAGCAGTGACGATGCAGGACAGACACGTCTGGGCAGGTTGGCGGCCGGCTCTGGGATGAGGTCTCTTAGCATGCGCGAATTGCCATGCACGCAAGCGATTGCCCTGCGCCTTTATCGAAGCTGCTGATGACGAAGACTAATCCCCAGCTCGACGAGCCCGGTCAGTGATCGTCGTCCGACACGTCCAGTTCCGCTTTAGCGGAAACCCTCCCGATCGAGCGCGAAACGTTGACTTTGTTTCTAGCGCACCCGGGCAGCACATCAATCTCCATTAATAGCTCGACTACACACGCCATGAAACACTCCCAGTTGTCCTTTCCGCCCTGAGCTACACAGCGCAACAGCATACCGACACCTTTGCACCTTCCCTTAGAGGCCAGACCAGGCCACCAAGCTGCATAACCGCGGTATAACTGCCCCGGCCGTGTAGCTGCAAAGCCCTGCCAACACATGCATAAACTAGCGGGGTTGAGGCTGCTATCCCACTTGGCGAGGCTGCGCGACTGGGGAACCCATTGGCCTTCTTCTGCCACCGTCACCACGTCTGCACCCTGAGACAGGTTGGACCCTTCACCAGAGGTAGCTTGAATTCGTGTCGCATTTCTAAGGCTTGCTGCATCCATACTACTATAGTTCAATGAGTAAGCAGTTGCTGAGGCAATGTACACTTCTACCTTGATAACATTCTCTAGCATGCGACACTAAGTCTAGCCATCCCTGATGCTCGTCAAAATCACCTGAGGTCAGCATCGAGGAAAGCACGTTTAGCAAAGGAAAAAGCAGATGGTATATTGCTCTAAAGGTGGTTTCGCTAACGCCATGTCATGTTATCATAACGCAGTCCCTCGCGCCCACACTCCAACCTGAAAGCTCGAGGGCCATCAGCCCGAGTTCGACAAAAAGAAGTACAGGGAATATGGTCAGAAAAGCGACCGCAACGCAAGCACGTATGGTTACGTACTGTACCCATGCCAGAACCGCCGTAGCAAAACTGTCCAGAAGCAGGGCGAACCTTACAGCCGCGATATTAATTACGCTGAGCAGACTACAGGTTCGTCAACATCGCGCCCCCATCTGGCACACATCAGGGCGATTGAGCAGTCTTGACGACTACTCACTCTCTGATTTGAGCCTTCAACCCAGCATTCTCCCTCTTCAGTCTTGCGTTCTCTTTTCGCAGGCGGGTCAGCTCCTCTTCGCTCGTCTTCAACCGACGTTCCACCTCTTCGCTAGCCTTTCCCTTGCGAGCGCTGCTTGTCACCCTCTCCAGCTCTTCGTTGAATTTCACGTACAATGCCTCGTTCTCCGCGTTTGCGTTGCGGTACAACTGATCTAGGTGCTTGCATCGAGCCTCCGATACTTGTAGTGAAGTTGTTACGTCGTTTGAGATTCCCGAAGTACGTGCAGAGAGGGTTTCCAGTGTAGCTCTGAGCTTCTCTAGAGCAGCAACGCGCGCTTCAGCCGTCCTTGCAGCCGTCCCATTCGTTATCAACGATGGAGCAGAACTCTGGGTTGTCAGACGCGGCGTGCTTCTAGCATTCAGCTCTTGACCGATGGCACTCAGTTCATTCTGCAAAGCTTGCGAAGCTGTGTCGATATCGTGTTGCTGAGTTTGCAGTCGCTCGCGCAGCTTTTGAGGTGATTGCATTCTCAGCTTCTTGGGAGGGCTCCCAGTCAAAGGAGTGCTGGCTTTGGTCGGAGATCGCGGAGTCGAGGGTGGCAGTTTGACAGCGTTGCCGGATCCCGTTCGTTCATGCAGACCAGCACTGGTAGTTGGTCGTAGATTCGGAATGGCTGAGCTGTTCGGGAGGTTTAGAGGATTGGGAATGCCTGAAACAGTCTCGCTTCGCTTCTTCGTAGGGCTGTTTGACTTGATGGTGACTTCATCATCGACGTCCGGCTTCATCGTGACCGACTTTCCCCTAATGTGTGCTGGACGATCCAAGCCGACTGCAGGGGAGTTCTCCTTCCTGTCTGTCCTTTCCACCCGCAGCGGTGAGCCTAGTCGGGTAGGCGTCGGTATCGACGAAGTGTGTTTGTGTAAAGCCATTGTAGCGGCTGAAGGAGCCAGCGGGGACTCGCTAATCTGGCGTGTTTCGTGGCGCAATGCAGGATCGACCTTGCGAGGAGTCTGCGGGGACCACTCGGGTACATCGTCAGCATCCTGCAACGTCTTGAGATCGCTCAAAGAAGAGCGGCGCTTCTTGCGGGGAGGCCCAGTAGTGGAAGGTACCTCTCCAATTGTCCCAAGATTGCCCACGAACGACCGACCATTCGCGTTCGAGTTCGAATTCGAGTTCGAGTTCGAGTTTGAATTCGCGTTTGAATTCGCGTTCTCAAACGTAAACGCGCCGAGAACAGTCGGACGGTCGCGAGAGGACGGTCGCTTTGGCGATAGGCGAGCAGCAGCGTCTATCGAGTTGGAGCGACCAAGGTGCCCGGGACCAGCCTTCCCCATGCTGGGCGACTGGAGATCTGTGCCATGGCTGTTCTTGCTCAATGAGCGCCAGAGTGAGCCTACCTTGGACTCATTCTCTGACTTGCTGTTCTCGCGTGTCAAGGTACCAAAGCCAAAACGTCTCCGCAGTGATGTGTTGGAGTTGAGCGAGCCGGCAGCAGCGTAGCGACTCTTTGAGTCCATAGAGCCATAGTTTG